TGAAACATGAACAGGTAACTATGAAAAAGAATCAGTAAGAGCTCTTGGAAATAAAAATGATAATTGTTGAAATAAAATAAGAAAGAGACTAAGTTGTTAAAAAAAAAAAACAACAATTAATGGACTAAAAGATGAAGCAGAATATTCCAGGAATGCAGAACAAAGTGATGAAGATGAAAAATATGAAAGGAAAGTTAAGAGACATGGAGTTCTCACACTGTTTTACAACCATTCCAGAGGGGAAGAATAAAAAGAGTGAAGATAGTCAATATTTAATTATGTACAAGTTGGGAAATTTTATAGGTAGATCTCCTAGTTCTACAATTGAAAAGATCCACCATTATGCTGAGCAGGATGAAAATAAAGAAAGGAACCTAGACATGCTTTAGAGAAATGTCAGCATTTTAAAGACAGTGAGGAACTCCTGAGAAAATCAGAGTAATGACAGCTAATGAAAAAGAGAACAAGGAACAGGTGGATAGCAGCACCTCACTAGCAAAGGTCGATGCAAGAAGAGAATGGAATAATCTACTCAACGTGCCAAGGGAATATGACTGGAATTCAAAAGTCAATCACTGAAGAATGGGGGAGAATAACATTCATTCCTCATAATGTCAGGAAAGCATTATGGGACTTCCCTGGTGGTGCAGTGGATAAGGATCTTCCTGCAAATGAAGGAGACACAGGTCTGATCGCTGGTCTGGGAAGACTCCCCTGCTCGCTGCAACTAGAGAAAGCCCGTGTGCAACCACAAAGACCTAGCACAGCCAAAAACAGAATTAAAACAAGAAAGCATTATGGACACAAATAAGGGCCTGCCCTTCGTTAAGGACTGAAATGTATAACCCGTCGTGCACGTGTGTGTGTGTTTGCAACGCTATGGACGGCAGCATGCCAGGCTCCTCTGTCCATGGAATCTTTCAGGCAAGAATACTGGAGTGGGATGCCATTTCCTCCTCCAGGGGATCTTCCCAAACCAGGGATCAAACCCATGCCTCCTGTGTCGGCAGGCGGATTCTTTACCACTGAGCCACTTGGGAAGCCCACACATCCCCATAGAAACCACCAAAAGGGTACAGAAGGGACACTGTTGTGAGCCCAGGGAGGCTTCCCAGACGAAGCAGGGATGTGAAGAATAAGTTGGATTTTGATATGCCAAGTTTCATTCAAAGAATGGCCTTGAGTGCCTTCCATGAGAAAGCAGGTAGCGGGCTAAGAGCTAGGTTAAAGGCAGAGAGCAACAGGGAAGCCTAGCGTGCTGCAGTCCATGGGGTCACAGAGAATCAGACATGACTTGGTGACTGAACAACAACAAAAGGCAGAGACAGCAAGAGATGTGGGGCAGGGGTTCAGAGGAAAGCAGTGAAAATAAGGCTGATCAGTAGTGGGAGGAGGAACAGCCCTTGATGGGGAAAGATGTTTCATATCAGAATAACGTACATGTTTTGCAACAGCAAAATGGGAGAACTGGGCATAGAATTTATCTTGAAACCCAAGCAGGGTATCTTGAGAGTTTGCTCTGTGGACTTGAAGTTAGTAAGAACAGACTGGGAGAAAAATAATAGGAGCAGATAAAAACCCTTTTAGAGTCTTGGAGGTATTTCTACTGTCCCCTCAGTTTCTCTGTGAGAATTGGGATTTGAATTTTATAAAAATAAGTTTGAAAGGCTTCAACTCAGGTTCTTTAAACACCACTCCAGACAGCCCCCCTGATGTCTGCATGGACTGAAGAACACTGGGCCTAAGAAGTTTCTGGAGCAGCTTGGGCAGAATCAGTGGTGGAGAGGTGCACAATGTACCTATGGGAAGCATCTCCTCCTGTGCTCACTGGGCCCCTGTCCCAGGACGTGAGAAGAAGAGAGAAGGAGGCAGGAGGTGTCGGAGCTGGAGAAAAATGGTGGGTGCTTTGGAGGTCTAGAAAAGGGACTGAAGACCCTTAGGGGACTTCCCTGGTGGTCTAGTGGTTAAGAATCCACCTTCCACAGTCTGGATGGGAGGGAAGTTTGGGGGAGAATGGATACATGCATGTGTATTGCTGAGTGCCTGACTGTTCACCTGAAACTTACAGCATTGTTTGTTAATCAGCTAGTGGTGGTGTTCAGTCGCTTGGTCCCGTCTGACTCTATTCTTTGTGACCCCATGGACTGCAGCACATCAGGCCTCCCTGTCCATCACCATCTCCCGGAGTTTGCTCCGACTCATGTCCACTGAGTCAATGATGCCATCCAACCATCTCATCCTCTGTCTCCCCCTTCTCCTCCTGCCCTCAATCTTTCCCAGCATCAGGGTCTTTTCCCATGAGTCGGCACTTTGCACCAGGTGGCCAAAGTACTGGAGCTCCAGCTTCAGAATCAGCCACACCCCAATATAAAATAAGAAGTTAAAAAAAAAAGATCAGCTTTCCAAAGCAGGGCACATGGGTTCTGTCTCTGGTTGGGGCACTAAGATCTCATAAACGGTGGCGCAACGAAGCCCACACATGGCAACCAGAGAAGCCCACGTGTCATAAAGAAGGCCCTGCACGGCCAAAAAAAAGACACTGAGGACACATACCACACTCATGCACTGGCTCAAGACCATCTGCTCACTCTCTGCACCCTCCATTCATTCAAATGTGCATTCATAAAGGAACGGCTCTCTGAGTACCTACTGTGGACCAGACAGGGTCAGAGGCAAGAATGAAGAGGCAAACATTCCCTGGTTTTCTGGGTATTGGTGGGAGGCTAGTGGGGAGATGGATTTTCATTGATTTAACAAGATTTATTGCAAGTCCACATGTGCCAGCCACTGTGCTAGCTGTGGTGGTACAGAAGTAAAAACAGATATGCTCTCCATCCTCCTGAGATCCTCAAATCCTGGGCAGATAAACAGCAGGCTGCCAATACATCTGGTTCTAATCTGGAGACAGACAAGGTTCAAATCCTGACTCTGTCACCTTTTGGCTGTGTGATTTTGAGTAGCACCTTTTTTCTGAGCCACAACTTCCTCATCTGAAAAACAGGGATTGAACCATTCCTGCCTCATAAGAGTAAATGACAATATGCTTAAGGGAGACACAGCCTGTGAGGTGCTGAGTGCTGTGGCTGGCACCCAACTGCTTCTCCGTTACTTACGGACTTCCCTTCAAGTTCTAACCCCGTGAGAAAGAGAAGAGAGATGGGAGAGGAGAGAAAATAAAAGGAGAGAGAAGAGGCAAGCAGGGAAGGAGGTGATAAAAACAGAATACAAGCCAGTCACAAAGGCCACATAGTATATGATTCCACGCATATGAAAAGCCCCAAATCAATAAATCTATGGACACAGAAAACAGAGAAGTGGTTGCCTAGGGCTGGGGCAGGGGCACTGAGAGGGAATGAGGAGAAGTGGAGAGGGGCTGCGAGTGTGCACAGGGCTTCTTATGTGGGTGATGAGCTGCTCTCACATTGATTATGGTGATGGTTGCACAACTCTCTAACTATACTAAAAAACCACTGAATTTTATACCTTAAACCACTGACTTGTATGGTGTGTGAATTATTATCTCAATAAAGCTGTTACCAAAATTAAAAACACACAGAAGTAGGAGCTGGTGCCTAGACCAAGAATCACAAGTAGTGTAAGCTTGTATACAGCAAAGGAAACCATGAACTAAAGGAAAGGACAGCCCACTGGGAAAGAATATTTACATATGATGCAACTGACAAGGCTCAATTTCCAAAATAAATAAACAGCTCATTCAACTCAACAACAAAAAGCAAACAGGCCAATTGAAAAAAGGGCAGAAGACCTAAAGAGACATTTCTCCAAAGAAGACACAGAGATGGCCAACAGGCACATGCAAAGATGCTCAATATCACTAATTACTAGAGAAATGCAAACCAAAACTACAATGAAGTATCACGTCACATGGGTCAGAATAGCCATCATTAAAAAAATCTACAAATCTACAATAACAAATGCTGGAGAGGCTGTGGAGAAAAGGGAACCCTCCCACACTGTTGGTGGGAATATAGATGGGTGCATCCATTGAGAGAACAGTAAGGAAGTTCCTCACAAAACCAAAAACAGACTTGCCATATGATTTAGCAACCCCACTTCGGGATATATATCCAGACAGAACTCTAACTCAAAAAGATAAGCACTCAATGTTCACTGCAGCACTATTCACAGCCAAAGCACAGAAACAACCTAAATTCCACTGACAGATGAATGATAAGTGATAAAGATACAGTGTGTGTGTACATATATAGAGATATGATGGAGTACTACCCACTCACAAAAAATGAATGCCAACTGCAGTGATATGGATGGCATAGAATTATTGTACTAAGTGAAGTAAGTCAGAAGGAGAGAAACAAATATGGTATGATATCACTTATGCGTGGAATCTAACATGACATAAATAGGGACTTCCCTGCTGGTCCAGAGGGTAAGACTCTGTGCGCCTAATACAGGGTACCCGGGTTTGATACCTGGTCAGGGAACTGGATTCTACATGCCACAACTAAGACCCAGCACAGCCAAATAAACAAATACTTAAAAAATTAATAATAAAAAAATAAAAATAAAATATGACATAAATAAACTTATCTATGAAGCAGAAATAGACTCACAGACATAGAGAACCCAGCTGTGGTTGCTAAGGAGATGAGGGAATAGAAGGAAGGATGAATTGGGAATCTGGGGTCAGCAGATACAAAGTATTACATGTAGTACGGATAAACAACAGGGTTCTCCTGGACAGCACAGGGAACTATATTCAATATCCTGTGATAAACCATATGGTAAAGAATATGAAAAAGAAAATATATGTAAGTATTGGGTTGGTCAAAAAGTTTGTTCAGGTTTTTCCGTAAGATGTTGTCAAAAACCTGAACAAACTTTTTGGCCAACCCAATATACCCAAATCACTTTTTGGCACCACAGAAATTAATACAACATTGCAAGTCAACTATACTCCAAAAAAAAAATTAAGAAAGAAAAGAACCACAAGTAGGCAGAAGGACACCAGGTCCACTCACCTCAACCTTCAGGCCTGCCTGGAAGCTGATGCCATCAGGGATGGTCGTCTGGAATTCAGCAATGGTGTAATACTCTTCCTCCACTTGGGGTGGGATGGGAGGCTTGGGCAGGTTGAGACCTCGAGGCTGGTTCAATTAAAGACAGTGTTAAATCCAATATAACTGCATCCCCCAGGCTGAATGAGGGGCTAAGGGGCTGGGGCCCACAATCACCCTTCAAGGGGTGCTGGTGGGCCCATTTGGATTCTAAGGGACAAAACAAAGGGGATCGCTCAGATCATCATCTTCTAGATGCGTCACTGGCCCTTCCGCTTTAGGGTGATAAGAAAAAACACGGGACATTTGCCTACAGTCATGAAAATCGAGTGCAAGACAATATTCTCTGAACTTAAGAGATAACGAGGGTTGTGAAATGAACACAAGTTTCCAAGTCAAGACACACTGGCGAGACTTTGGGCAAAGCCCTTCCCCCCCTGAAAGCCTCAGTTTCATCTCCTGTAAAATGGGGATAATAACAGGATCTACCTGGTGGGGTCAGCATGAACATTCGATGATTTCACGTAGTGAAATACGAGCACTCTGCCTAGCACCCAATAGGTGCTCAGTAGATGGCAGACACTAAAAACGAGAGGCCCATTTTTCACAGTATTGCTTAGAAAGGTACCTAAGAATTAAAAATGGAATATGAGAGCAAAATGCCAGAATGGCACCATAAGAGAAATGTGTGCCTCCTTCTATTCCAGTCTCAAGTCACCTTACTGGAGAAGACTCATTTAAGACAAAGCGGAGTGGGCTCAGGAGCCAGAGAGCACACGCCCAGGCCTAACTGTCACAAAGCCATAAGCAGACTGTGTGATCTCCGGGACCTGCATTCCTCCACCTGTCAATGGGATTAGCGTCACAAGGCTGCCGTGTAAAAGAACGCAACCTTGGGAAGGGTGAGGTGAATGTGGGGGGCCAGTCTTCGGCCAGGGGCTGGCTCCCCAGTTGCAAGGGTCCACTTACTATGGTCATATCCCGGCGAGGAGGGGGCCTCTGCCTCATCTTGGGTGATCCTAGAAAGACACGAGATCTTGTTTCACACACGATGAACACAATCCCTGAGGTGGACACCAAGACAGATCTAACCTCCCCTGCAGGAGATGAGGTATCACGATTTGCACAGGCATCAGGGAGCAGCCGTGACCCTTCCTGGGGGAGGAGCCTGGCGGGGGCGGGGCCACATAGACTGGGTCCAAGACTATCAGCGAGGGGATGCTTCTGAGTCCTGGAGCGACGGAAAGCCTTCCAGGAAAGGTAACAACTTATGTGACTTTGAGCCATGTGGCCCTCTTCTGAGGAGTGGGGATAACGCCTGCCTCCTGGAGGTAGCGGTGGAGATGAAAGTCAATGGTACAGGCTCGGCTCTCGGCATGTGGCAGGTACGCATTAATGTTACTGCCCCTGTCTTTGCTGGCTCCAGAGCAAACCCAAATTAAATAATGCATAAACAGAGCCAAACAAACTTGGACTGATGATTTCACGGGTTTTTACTCTGGAATTGGGCTGCCCCTGCTCTGGGTCAGGAAGAGGAAGACTCTGCAGTGGGCCAATGCTCCTGGCTAAAGGCAGACTATTGAGGAAGGCACCCACAGGCTGCCAGAGCTGATTTAGTATGAGTCTACACAGAGGGGTGGTTTGGCAGTTGGGGTGGGGAAGACTGCTAAACTCTTAAATACCCATTTCCTCTGCCTCCTATTAGAATAAACAGCAACAGAATTTTAGCCAGACACTTGACTGCCTACATAAAGACTACATTTCCCAGACTCCGTTGCAGCTAGGTAATGCCACGGGACTCAGTTCAGTTCAGTTGCTCAGTGGTGTCTGACTCTTTGTGACCCCATGGACTGTAGCACACCAGGCTTCCCTGTCCATCACCAACTCCTGTAGCTTGCTCAAACTCATGTCTATTGAGTCAGTGATGCCATCCAACCATCCATCCTCTGACTAGGTCTAGCCAATGGAATGTGGCCAGACAATCTACTCTCAGGTGTGCTGGGAACATTCAACTGTAAAATATATACAACAAAGTTCTGAAAAGATAAGTAAAGAACTATCTTTGGAGTAAACCCAACACAGGGTCCATTTTTTTCTTCCCCAGGCTCAGAAATGAGGCCCTGCAGAGTCAGAAGGATGTGGGCTCAAGCCCCACTGTGCACTGTTTGGGCAGTCTTGGACAAACCACTTCATCCCTCTGCTTCCTAATCTGTAAAACAAAAGCAGTGAGTCCTACAAAGGTTGTTATAAAGGATCAGTGAGACTGATTGTAACATTCCTGGCACATGGTAGGGGCGTGTGAAACAGGAGGTCTGGTGATTATCATGAGACAGTGGAAAAACCACAGTTTGAGTAGGAGAGCCACATCTCTCCACTCAGGTTCTGCAACTTGCTGGTGGAATGATCTGGGAACAAGTGACCTGGGGCCATGAGCCCATTTTCTCATCTACAGGATGGAGGGTCGTGGGGCTGCTGTGAGGGTGAGGGACAGCACGTGAGCAGATCTGGACACAGAGCCTGGCATGCCTCTGGGAGCCAGGTGGGCGCCACTTACTCTGCTTGATGTCACCGTCAGGCGCGGGGCGGCCCTCAAACCGGCCATCCCTCTGGTTGTTCAGCAGCTCCTTCTCCCGGCCCCCTGAGTTCTGCTGCCGGGAGACGCCATCGAGCTCCAGGACGCCCACGTGGGCAGGTGAGCCAGGGCCCAGCTTCGGGGGTAAGGGTTCCCCGCTGCTCTTCCTCAGGTAGGAGGCTGGGGCCCAGCCCTCTTTGCCCTGGTACCTGGGAGAAGGGGAAAAATGTCATCCAGTCTGCTCTGCCAGGCCCATGGGAAGAAGCTAAGCTTCTATAATGAATCTCCCGTCCGGCCCCAGATGGTAGGAATGATGGACCATTGCTGCCCAGGGCCAGAGACTGGCACACTGCGTCCTGCCTCCTGATGAAGCCGAAGCCCCCAGCTGGGCATTCAAGGCCCCCTAGTCTGGCCTCTCCTTGCCTCCCTGGCCTTGGCTGTCACGGCAACCTCCACATCCTACCCACCCCATGCAGCCAAATGCTCCACTATCTTTTACCCCCTTGCCCCACGCTCCTGCTCTGGGAGACCCTCTGCCTGGAAAGCCCATTCTCTATCATCCTCCTCTCTATCATCCCAGCTCCACTTAAGGCGCCCTCTCAAGGCTTTCCTGAGTCTCCTTCCACGGTGCCCCGGTGGTCTTGCACATACAACACCATCCCGTCTAAAACACACAGTGACACTTGGCTGTGATGGTCTTATTTCCCCACTTAGAATGTGAGGTCCTGGGGGTGGAGATCACGGGCGATTCATCTCCACATGGGGCCTCACTGCCTGTGAGTTGAATGAAGAGAAAAGGGGACAAGTGGACAAACTGTCAACAGAACCGGCAAGAGTGAGCAGCCACAGAGCTCTGTGACGGTCCTTATACATCCCAGAGTCATCACCGCAGTGACGATGATGACGATGGTAACTGCCACTTATGCGCACCTACTGCGTGTCAGTCCTGTTGCAAGCGTCTTATAGCTATCGATGCATTTCATCCATCCAATCTGGGGGGTGTGTGGCAGGAGCGGGTTCAGCCCTAGATGGCTGGCACCTGTAGGTGCTGTTCACCTCCGCCCTGCAGCCTCTTCCCAGCAGCCACAGCTGCAGGTACAAAGCCTGGTACAGGCGGGGTAGGGCTCCGGTCACAAGCAGATTAAACACGCATTCAGACGGGAATGGAGCAGGTTGGGGGCTGGTTCCGGGGTAACCAAGGGTCACTGAACTCTGGAATGACTGACACCCTAAGAGCCCAGCTCACTGAATTCCAAAGGGAATTGAACGAGTATAACAATCATTTAATTTTCTGCATGATGGAGTGCAGTTGAATAGTGTGACCGGAGGGGTTGATCGGGACCACAGGTGTGCAGGAGGCGGCTTGTGAGAACCAACTGTTCACGTCCCTTCCCAACTCCATGTTTAGCACCATGACAATGGAAGCTTGAAATCTACCACGAGGGAGGATTTACACCACGGAAACTGGCAAACACTACAACTCAAGAGCATTTTTCCTTCTGGAACTGTTAAACATTTGCCAGCAGACCACTGATCTGAACCACAAAATAGGTGCCTAGACCTTTGAGGTATATGCCTAATGGACTGGAGATGATACATAGCAGGGCCATCTCTCATCAAGCATCACTGTAAGCACTGCGTTTCAACAAAAAGGGTCCTTTTCAACTAGAAGCAAACTTATAAGGAGACAGAAATCTGCAGATCTTGGTGTCTATCAACCTTAAAACATCCTCTGAGAAGGACTCAACCTCGTGCCAGCTGGAACGTGCTGGGCTCCACACGATGCAGGCATCACCATGAGACAGCTCATCATCTGGAGGCACAGGGCCATAAACAGAGAGGCACGGCTGAGTGGGCTTGGGTCAGAAAGGCGCAGGTTCAAATCCTGGCCCTGTCACCTTCTCGCTCCAGTCAAACCTCTGATGACCACGGCAACATCCTGCGACCACCTCGTGAGGGAGCCTGAGCCCAGTCAAGCCACCTGAATTCCAGAGCCACTCAGTTTGGAGATAATTCGTTATATCACAAGATAAAACACACTCAAGACATGTGAGCTCTCACTGTCATCGTAAGTGTATGCTGAAGTAGGTGTTAGTGGCTCAGCTGTGTCCAGCTCTTTGCGACCGTATGGACTGTAGCCCACCAGTTTCCTCTGTCCATGGAATTCTCCCAGCAGGAATACTGGAGTGGGTAGTCATTCCCTTCTTCTCCGTCCAGGGATCGAATCTGGGTCTCCTACATTGCAGGCAGATTCGTTACCGTCCGAACCACCAGGGACGCCCATCACTGTCCTAAGTGCGCCTTCACACCGCAGTCCTGAGGCCCTGACTCTCCGAAGTCCTCCTGACCCCCAGGCTGCGGAGCTGTCTTCTGGGCACACAGTCCCCCACGCACGCCTCCTGCGCCCACTCCCTGCCCCGTACGTGCGTCCGGGCCTGTCTTCCGTGCCTGCGGGTGTAAACTACTGTGTCTTTCCCACTGTCGAGCCCCTAGTTGTCAGAGTACAGCGTGGCCCAGAATAGATGCTGGTGCAGCTTTGCTCAGTGAACGAGGCAGCACACGCTGAGCCCCAGGTGGCTGGCCCCAGGTCCTGCCTCACACCACGGCGCAGACCCCAGGCGGCAGGGATCCCAGACTTCCTCTCTTGCCCAGATTTCCCGAGGTTGCAGCCTGCCCACAAAGTAACCAAGCAGGGAGTTCCAGGACTCTTATTACTAAAACTGGGAAAGTCCCAGAGCACAGCAGGACGAGCTGGCCACCTTGCCTGCCGATGAGCTTTTGATCCCATCACACAGATCAAAGAGCTGTAACAAGGTGTTGGAAATGCTGGTCTCCACCGGACTCTGAGAGATGACGGCAAATGACGAGCTTCAGGAGGGGCTACAGCCAATGTGGTGTTACCCATCCTGTTGCTCTCAGTGGGGCTGGAGTGGGAAATCTCCCACACGGCAGCTTCAGCCTCCAGTTACTCATTGCGAGACACATCTGGAGGTGAAGACCAGTCTTGCTCAATGGGGTTATTGCTATCTGTGGTTCAGTGTGTTCAGAGACAGTTTTGCTTACTATGGCTTTTTAGAGAAGGATATGGGTATGGAAGGAAGCCAAACAGCACAGAGGAGAAGTGTCCTTTTATGGCGCAGGCTGAAGCCTCATCTTCTCTGCAATCATTTACAGACATCTGTACAGCTGGAGTTCACGTGACCTGAAACCCACCCAGCTGCAGAGGGTACCTGATCTTCCACCAGCCTTCCAGGTTTTTCTGGATGACCTCCACCACGGCTCCTCTCTCCAGGTTCATTTCATCTTGGTCACGCGCTGTGTAGGGGTAGATGACTGTGTACTTCTCTTCTGTGGGGACAAAGGGATGCTGGGGTAAGTCAAGGATGCTGTAAGCTTGGAATGTTAACGGCCAAGGCTATGATCTTGAGATGCCCTTGTAGGGAAGGATTTCTTCCAGAGACTTCTGTGCACCATCCTTCCCCCAACCCCCCAGCACGCCCCAGTGACCCTCACTTAGCCCTGGATGACCCTGGTCAAGCAGCAACAAGACACAGGACAAAGCGCAGGTCCTCAGAAATCCCTCAGCATCACACATCACACTCACCTTCCTCAAATCTGTGCCTCCAGGTCACCTTCCTTGAACATGCCTTATGTAACACCCGGACCCAGGGCACCCTCATCCCACTTACCAGGAACAACCTTCGAACATATCAGACAATTTATCTATTGTGCTTCATCTGTCTTTCCCCAGATAGAACAGAGAGTTCCAGAAAGGCAGGATTTGAGTCTGGCTCGTTCATTCCTCTATCTCTAGCACTGGGCATGGTACTGGGAATATTTTGGAACTATTTAGTAAAATAGCCAAGGTTTAGTAAGTGAATAAGTCCTGAAGGCCTGGTGGGAGTACCTTGCTCATGCTGGGGTAGAGGACTGGTGTTAAACCCTTGCGGTGGCTCCTCTGCAGTCCTTATTGGTGGAGGGGTCAGGGACAAGCTGGATTTGGCAGCATACAGTATGGGGTTGGATCAGTACCACGGAGGAGATAGCCATTTTTTATTACCTAGCTGGTAGCTGATTTCCACTTTACATTTATTTTCAAGTCCCTGGATCCAGCCATGCCTGAAGCTTAATTTTATTAAAAAATTATTTTTTAATTGAGATATAATTGACACCTCACAGTGTTAGTTTCATGTGTACAACATAATGGTTTGAGATACGTATCATGAAAAGATTGCCTGCTTCTGTTTTTATTAATGTCACTGGGGTGCCTTCCATCCCCCTCTCAGTGGATCCCGGCTCCTTTACCCCCAAAGCGAAGAGAACTGCCTCCAGCAGTGTCCCTCCCACCGCCCTGCAGGCCCCGCTGGAAGGGCTGTTCACTGCCACGTTCAGACAGGGCCCTCCCCAGAGCAAGGGCACAGCTCCCAGCCCCAGCGCTGTTGGCAGTGACTGCTGAACCAGGTAACAGATGAGAGTCCCTGGGGAGCCAGTGAGACGGGGAAGAGGGCCTTCCTGTTTTGGTTACATCCCAGACCCCAGGGAGTCACCAAGCCAGCTGTGCGCCGATGCTGATGGTGAGCCTGGAGGGGAAACACCACAGGCTGCCTGTGGCCTGCCCAGCTGGCGCAGGAGGCGGCGGAAAACACACAGGGCGTTTATTTATTTATTGATCTAGCCCCCTGACCTGCGCGGCGGGGGCTGAGCTGACTCAAACGCCACACATCCTGTGTACAGCGGAGTCAGCGGTTCTCCTCACTCAGGATGCAGGCTGGGGCACGGGTGCTGTAGCAGGGAATCCAACCCCGCGGAGGCAGAGAAGTTCTGTCTGGCTAGGTGAGAAGGGCACTGCGTGGTCCCAGACTGAGTAGAGTCATTACTACGGGCTCCAAACTCCTGGGGGTTCTCCAGTACCCAGAGGCCCTTTCTGGACTCGTATCGAATGTCCAGTGATCCCTAACAAAGCTGAAGGCGGGAGGCCTTGCGGACTGTATGGTGGGTGACGCCACCTGCTTACCGTCCGTCTGCCCTTCCCCTGGCGGCACTGCGAGCCTCCAGCCACATGTCTGGGTGAGGCTGACCTCGCCAGCACCTAGAGGGAGGGGAGGGCACCTACCCCTGGCCTGGCCAAAGTGACTGGCCACTGTGATTAGTTTAGGGATGGTATATGACCCAGTCGGGTCAGCTGGAATCAAATCCTGGGACTGTGTTGAAGGAGAAGCATGCGGGCTTTGTGAGTGTCTGAGAGTGCCTGAACTACCATCCCCAAGAGAGAGTGGTTCCAGCAAGGCAGAGCATGGAGCTGAGGCTGGCGAGCCTAAGCCTCAGTGCCCAGGGCAGGGGGAGAGGAAGTGTACCTGCCGAGCCAGTAAACAAAGAATGATGCCCACCACCAAGCCATCAGCCACTGCAGCCACCCCCAAGAGTGCACCCTGAGGGGAATTCAGATGGACAAAAACAGGAAGCATTCCATGCTCTGGGTACCGGCCCAGGATAGATAAGATACATATCAAAGGAGTAATTTCAGTGAGTCCAGACTCTTACATCTTTCCACTCATAGAAAAGCACTAAAATCATTAACTTAAGATGGCTGCTTTTTGTGATTAGCAGTAATCTTTTGATGTTAGGCTACATGTTTTGTTCTTCCAGACAAAACCCCCTATATATCCTGGCTCCTCCCTTCCCTCTTCGGGGGCAGTGCCCGAGAGCTATCCGAGAGGCTGTCTCCCAGGCTACAGTCCTCAGTAAGATGCCTGAATAAAACTTACTTCACAACTTATACGTTGTGCATTTTTCTTCAGTTGACATGTTTTCAAACTCCTGGATCCAGCCATACTCGAAGCTGCCTCTACCCTAGAGTTTTCAATGACCTTCAATGACTTTCAATGCACTTCCCTTTTGCTTAAGCTGGTGTGACATGGGTTTCTTTACCGTTGTCACTCAAATGTGCCCGATACAGGGAACAGGTCACTGGATCAACATTATAGAGGCCCCCGGGCATCATTTATTTTTACTTTATTTTATTTTAGAATAAAATGATCTTTATCCTTTTTGCAATAAATGTGATTTGTTTTTACATTTAACATTTCTTGCTTTTATATTTTTGCTTGATTTTTAAAATATTTTGCTTTTGATTCACTACAAAATACAGCTGGCTTTGATAGTTTTGTCTCTGCAATATAACACAACCTTAGTTAAGAAACGGGCTTTATTCTGTTCATTAATTTTAGCACCTACACCTCTAGGTATCATTTTCTAACCTGGGAAATTTTAGGGCCCCAGGTCGAGAAACACCCCAGGCTCCCTCCTCCCAAACATACATGCCAACACACACGTGGTACAGACCAGATCACCGTTTCTCACATGCAACAGGCACAGGCAGTCCTGGAGCAGGGGGGCGCATGCAGATGCAGGATCCAGTTCTGAACACCGAATGGGGAGGAAAACTCCAAGGTAGGCACCTTGACGCCAGCTGATGGCATACAAGTCGCCCAGCGTCCGGCGGCGACCCGCGGGCTGGGGCAGAGACCAGTACCTCCATGAGACTGGTCGGGCGGCATGTGGAGAAGGGCAGAAGGAGGGGTGAGAAGAGAGCACCTCCAGGGTCTTGAGGCAAAGGCAGCACCCAGCATGTGCTCCCACTTAGGAGCAACTAATTCTGTGTCTTTGCCAAGCCCTAGCTGTCTCAGAAGGACCGAATTCCTCAATACTGGCCCTGAACTTGAGTGAAGAGCCACCCAGCAGACACAATGCTATTCCCAGCATGATTATGAAGAGGCCCTTAGAGAAATCCTCTTGGCAGAGGGAAAAAAATGTACAGACCCTTAGGAAAATGTGGTTCCCTCTCCCATCTTCTAGCTGTGTGATCCTGAGCCAGTGTTTCTACCTTTCCAAGATTGTTTTCCCATCTGTAAAATGGGGATAATAATCAGTCCTTTACAGAGACACGCCCCATGGTGGGCATCATTAACTGTCTAATAGAGCTATGGTTTCCATGTAGCACACCACTACCTTTACGCTGAGTTGGTTTTTGTGCTTTTTCTTCATGAGCTCCGCTCATGGTGGGGCTGAGAACACAGAGCAAAACAAAATGCATTTTACTTTGCGGGTGCTGGCTGTAATAAAACTAGATGCAAAACCATGTGTGTGCTTTTTTTCTTTTGCTAACCTTTGAGCATAGAAATACCCCTTTTCCTCACTTTCTTTTCTTTTAAATACAAATATAAGAAGCTCTGTGCTTTCTTTCTAAAGAGTCAACTAGAAGCACCAAATATTCAGCCTTAGGTAAGCCACAGGTCTGTGATAAAAACCATTCCTAGTTATTTATTATTTCAGGTTCTTGCCAACTGCTTTGCATGTGGGATCTCATTTAACTTAAAAAAAAAATCCCAAGATGTCAATACCATCATTTCCATTTTTAGAGGAGGTGGCTGAGGCATAGAAAGGTGAAGTTGCTGGTCCAAGATCACTCAGCCAGTTAGTGGTACAAATTCAAATTCAGTGGTGAGAGCCAAATTCAGGCCTGACTCTAGAAGCCTTTTGTTTAGTACCTAAGGTGAGTTCATGGTCTCGATTTAGGAATGCTCGGTGGGGGGGCGGGGGGGGGGCGGGCGGTGAGGGGAGGGGAGGTGGCTGGGTTAGGATTTCTGATGCAGCAGGACCCACTCTTTAGGACACCTGTAGGCAAAGTTCCCTGGGAAACAGAAGTGACTGGAGAGGGTCAGTTCTGATCCTGACACCCAAGCTGGGCCATTAAACCAACACAGAAAGCAGACAAAACAGAGATCTTTACAGATGGCTTCAGATGTTTTGTAAATGAGCTAGAAGCAGCCCCAGCGCCTTGGCCATCAGAATGATTCAAGGGAGGATGACTGGGGTGTGGACAGCAATCCAGCTGGGCTGGGCCCTCCGAGGCCCCATGGAGGCATCAGGGCCCCAGCTCTGGCCAGGCTCACCTGGACTGGCTCCCCACGGCCCCCAAGAGCAGGCGGGCTCGCCCCGTCCCAGCCCTGGGGCCTGGCTTCTGTCCACAGGCTACAGAGCCTGAGCCAGGGTGCGGCTGAGCCTCGGAGGCAGAGGCTGAAGGGGAGGCGCTGGGAGAGGAGGCCACCGCGGGCGATGGCCGGCGGCACCGCAGGCCTGGGGCCTGGCCCCTCCTACCTTCTTCAGGCTGCAGGGAGAACTCGTCTTGCACTCCGTCCTGGCCTTCCAGGCAGGTTGCGGGGACCCAGCCTTGCTCTTCAGCAGTGCTGACGAACCACCAGCCTGGGAAAGAGAGTACAGACGGAAGGCACTGGGTCAGGGAGGAGGCCTGCGTGTCAGAACATAATGAGACTCAGCCATGAGAGCAGTCAACGCTCAGAGTGAGGCTGAAAAGTCACCACTTCGTTAGCAGCATGCAACGACCCACGCAGGGCTTCCCAGATGGTGCTAGTGGGAGAGAAGCCGCCTGACAACTCAGGAGACATGAGAGATGTGGGTTCCATCCCTGGGTTGGGAAGATTCTCTGGGGGAGGGCATGGCAGCCCACTCCAGTATTCTTGCCTGGAGAATCCTATGGACAGAGGAGCCTGGTGAGCTGCAGTCCGTAGGGTCGTAAAGAGTCGTACACGACTGAAGCGACCGAGCACACCCATGTTTACTGACTGTTAAATGCTACAGACAGGCTAATGGGAAACCTGCTCTTGAGCCTGCGACAGGGCTGGGGAAGGGAGTCAGGGGTGGGGATGTGGAGAAAGGTTGTGCTAAAAGACGAGAGCCAAGAAAGTAGCTACCTTCACCAAGGTGAGCAAAGCACTTACCATTTTACTCGTGTTATATTGTCCCCACTGCACACACGAAACTGAGGCTGCAAGAGGCAAGACTTGTCCAAGTTCACAGAGCTTATGGCTGGGCTGCAACTTGTACCCAGGGCTCTCTGACACTGAAACCACTGCCCTAGTAACTCATCTGAGACAGGTTTTGCCTTTATTCATGTCAAGGTAAATCTGCCTGCAGATGTAACAGTTTGAGAGGCTGTTCACTCAGACTGAGGCCCTCCCTCTTTAGAGAAAGGGCTCTCAGGGGGCGTGGGGTCGGCAGAGTAATGAGTCAAGCGGCAAACAGTTACAATTAAGGTTGCAGACAGGATTAAGATTGTTAATCTGTTGAACTCAAATAGGAAGTTATCCTGGCTTATCTGGATGGGCCCAATATAGCCTCAAGTGAGGCAGAACAGTTGGGAGATGTGGGTAAGAGAACAGTTGGGAGATGTGGGTAAGAGAACAGTTGGGAGATGTGGGTAAGGAAAAGGCATGGAAAGCGGCAACTGCTAGACCCAAAGATGGAGGAAAGGACCGCAGGCTGAGGGATGTGGGTGGTCTCTAGCAAATGGACAAGGCAAAGAAGCAGAACCTGCAGAAGGGAACAGAGCCCCGACAGTGCCTCTTAGTCCAGTGGGACCCATTCTGGACTTCTAACCCCTCAAACCATACGATGATAAAGCTGTGTTAAGTCTGTAAGTTTGTGGTAATTCATTACAACAGTCATAGGGCATCAACTCAGGACCCAACTGGCTCATGCACAGCATGAATGGGAAAAACAGGATCTGCGCTGCAAGATCACAGACCTCCAGGCCCTGGAGACCCCAAAGGAGAAGAGAAAGAAGGGGCAGACTCTGAACTAGCTTCCTGGTCTCACAGGGAGGCCTTGGCTTGTAAGCTCCTTGAAGTAGAAGCCACCTTCGGCTTTGCTTGACTGGGTGCACCTCTTAAAACATGTTTTGGTGGCTGAGCAGTGTGGGTGTGTATGTATGTGTGTATATGAATGAATGGGGTGGATAAACCTGTGGAAAATCAGGAAATATGCCATATATGCCTTCCTAAGGCCTCATCTTTGTAGGCATCTGTGTGGCAGATAAACTGTCACAACAGCAATGATGGCAGCGATGCACCAGACCACCTATCACAGAGCTTCATATCTACCACTGACCTGCCAGGTCCTCATGGCAGCCTGAGCTGTGTTCTATTATGACCCTATTTTACAGATGGGGAAGCAGAGTTCAGAGAGGGGCAGTGACTTGACCAATGTCACTGAGAAAGTGGTAGAGCCGAAATTCACACCCAGGCCGTCTGGCTTCAAAGTCTCAGCTCTTAACTCTTGGCACAAATGCTTCATACATTGCTAGAGGGAGAGTAAATGGGTTTGGCCACAGTTTGGAAGCAGGTTATTTGGCTGTGTCTTAAGATTTAAAATGTGCCTATCTTATGGTCCTGCAGTGTTCTGGGTATGTGCATGCTACGTCGTTTCAGTCATGTCCAACTCTTTGAGACCCCCTGGACCATAGCTTACCAGGCTCTTCTGTCCATGGGATTCTCCAGGTAAAAATACTGGAGTGGATTGCCATTTCCACTTCCAGGGGATCTTCCTGACCCAGCGATCGAACCCATATTTCTTATGTCTCCTGCACTGGCGGGCAGGTTTACTAGCACCACCTGGGAAGCCCACTGCCAAGCCGGTCTTCTGGGTATCTAACTTAAAGAGACACTCACAGGTACACAGAGATATACTGTTCATACTAGAGGAAGATAAGACTCAGAGTGTGCCATCTTTTCAAATAGGGTGCAGATGTTATAGGAATAAGAGCTAAAAGTTAACTTAAGAAAAGTTAACTTAAGTTTGGACTTCCCTGGTGGTCCAGTAGTTAAGAGGGCTTCCCTCGTAGCTCAGTTGATAAAGGATAAACCTGCAATGTAGGAGACCCATGTTCGATTCCTGGGTTGGGAAGATCCCCTGGAGAAGGAAATGGCAACCCACTCCAGTATTCTTGCCTGGAGGATCCCATGGACAGAGGATCCTGGCGGGTTACAGTCCATGGCGTTGCAAGAGTCAGACATGACTGAGTGACTAAGCCACCACCAGTAGTTACGACTCTGTGCTTCCACTGCAGGGGGTGCGAGCTCGATCCCTGGTTGGGGAACTAAGATCCTGAACGCCACTCGGCACCACCAAAAATAAAAAAAAATTAACAACAACAACAAACAAAAAAGGAAAAGCAAGCTGCAGGTCAAAATGTACAGAATGATACACCACTGGGTTAAAAAACCTATAAAATATGCATGAAACATGACCTGTATGTATGTGTGTATACAGTTATACATGTACGTATGCACATGCAGATATGTATGCATACACACGTGTACAAATGTGTACACTGTGCACATACACATATGTACACACACGTGTACACATATATATACACATACTTATATACACCTGTATATACAATTGTTAAGAAGCATTCACCCCAAACTGACAGAAGAGGAACCTATGTCTGGAAAGAGGACCAGGCAAGAAGTTGGTGGAAAAAATTACATTTTAACTTTATTATTAATGTCTCAAGAAGAACATATCCACATATTACTTGGGTAAGTAAAACATAACTAAAAATAAACGTTGACTTTGTGGACCACCTGAAGATCTGAGCATCTGTCCTCTTTCCCCTGCTCCCCTCTGGACACACCAGGCTCGTCTCCCACCCCATCCCTGCTCCTCCTCTCCTCCCAGCAACATGTTCTTCCTAACATCACTCAAGAGGCCGAAGCAAAGGGGGGGAAAGGGGGGTGGGTGCTCCCTTCTTCAGTCTCCATGGAGCATCCCAGTCACACCCACGAGCTGACTATACTCATTTCCAGGAATTAGAACGTCACATGGCCTTGGGGCCAGCTGGAACTGCTTAGGAGTTCCAGCTCGGCAACCTGTCACGAGATTCTGGGTGAGTGACCGAGTCACTTGGAGTCTTCGTGTCTTCAGCTGTGAAGCAGGAATAACAACTGCGGTATTGGGCAATCAGGGAGTTTTGGTTGGCTAAATGCTCATCTCCTGACTAAAGGGAACACACTCCGGAGACTCTGGAAATGGTTTTTCCCCTATTTGTTGGACCTTAGCTAGTCACTGGGATATCACGGAGATTGGCCCTCTAATACAGCTAGCCAACGTCACATTTTAGCCAGGACGAAGCCAGTGGGCTTATGTCACTGTTTCCTGGAGAGGGTCCACTTATGCCCTACTCCTTGATCTCTGTCTTCAACGCTGGCAATGCCCTATTCTGGCTAAGGAAGACAAAAGGGAAGGAAATTCATATTTTTGAGCACTTGCTGTGTACCAAACACAGGCTTGGGCACTCTCTATGTACTGCCTCATTTAATCCTTGAGGCACCGTTTTTGATGAAACGACCTGGATGGCTGTGAAATGCGGAGTTCAGGTTAAGTTCCTCAGAATCTCATCACACTCTGTCCCGGCCAGGATCCAGACAAATGTTTTATGGTGCTTCTCTTTATTGCATTTCACAGATAATGTGTTTTTATTTTTTTTTAAATTGGAGGTTTGTGGCAACCCTGCATCAAGCAAGTCTATCAGCATCACCTTTCTGACAGCATTCGCTCACTTTCTGTCTCTGTGTCACATTTTGGTAATTCTCCCAATATTTCAAACTTTTAAATCCTTATTATATTTGTTACAGTGATCTGTGATCTTTTTTTTTAAAAAAATTATTTATTTATTTGGCTGCACCGGGTCTTAATTGTAGCATACAGGATCTTTTTAAATTGTGGCGTGTGTGTTCTAGTTCCCTAACCAGGGACTGAAGCCAGGCCAGCTGCACTGGAGCACAGAATCTTAGCCACTGGACCACCCTGTGATTGGTGATCTTTGATGTTAGTACTGCAAAAGGTTTATGACTCGCTGGAGGCTCAGATGATGGTCAGCATTTTTAGCAAGGAGTATTTTTTAAATTAGGGTACGTACATTGTTTTTTTTGACACAATGCTATTGCACGCTTAACAGATGACAGTATTATATGCTGTGCCGCTGTGCTGAGTCACCTAGTCGTGCTCAACTCTTTGTGACCTCATGGGCTGTTGCCCACCAGGCTCCTCTGCCCATGGGGATTCTCCAGGCAAGAATCCTGGAGTGGGTTGCCATGCCCTCCTCCAGGGGATCTTTCCAACCCAGGGATCGAACCCAGGTCTCCCGCATTGCAGGAGGATTCTTTACCATCTTAGCCACAAGGGAAGCCCAAGAATACTGAAGTGGGTAGTCTATTCCTTCTCCAAGGGAACTTCCCAGCCCAGGAATCCAATCAGCGTCACCTGCATTGCAGGTGGATTCACTACCAGGTGAGCTACCAGGGAAGCCCACGGTATCATGGGCTTATATTTGCACTGAGAAACCAAAAAAAATTCACGTGGTTTGCTTTACGGCAGCGGTCTGTAACTGAATCTGCAACATCTCTGAGGTCTGATGGTATGTAAACAGTGGTTCCTGTGACAGCAAGAAGGCTGAGGCAGGGTGTCCATCCCGTCAGAGCCCACAGCTGACAGAACCTTCCTGAGGACTCCCATGGTAGCCAAAGGCAAATCAACAGAGCAAATTTCCATTGTAATGGGGGGCTCTTGTCTCCAGGTGCTTTGAAACCAGAAGGAATGTTCATCAAATGTGAACCTCAGAACAAGTTGATAACATGTGACCCAAAAGGATGTTGGTGAGCTGTGACCAAGTGGGGTGCTCAAGCATTGTGATCAAACAAGGTCAGATTTCTAGAGTCATCAGCTGATCTGTGGAAGCTGACCAGCCTGGATTGGCTACTGCAGTTTCTGCACTCCCCAGTGTCCCCTGGCCCAGCGGCTTGGTGACAGTGTAGGGCGGGAGGGAGGGTGTCCAGGCCCCCTACCTGACTCGTTCTTCTCGATGATGTCCACCACTTGCCCCACGCTGAGGCTGATCTCCGAGCTCTCCTGCTTCTGGTAGTCTGCCACCACCACATACTGCTCCAAGACCATGGGGTCCACTGAGGTCAGGTCGCCCCCTGGGGATACAAATTGTCATCACACAATCCACGTGTGAAGGAACAGGAGGCGGTAGGTGGGTCATGAGGATATTCCAATTAGAGAAAGAACCTGTGGCAGGACTGGTCTCAATGGTCACTGCATCTATTTATTCTTTCATTCATTTGCTCACTCAACCACTGCAATTTACCACGTGCCTGTCCCTGTGTAAGCACTGAGGGTTCAGAGTTGATTAAGATATGGCACTTGCCCCAAAGAGGATGACAGCCTAGTGGGAAAGTCCATTCATTCATATCTATTTATCTATCTGTCGATCTGCCATTATTCATCTATCATCATCCACTCAACTAAGTATCCACTCATCATCCATCCAAGCAAACACCCATCTGTTGCCATCCATCCATCCAAAAGGAAATCAACCCTGAATATTCATTGAAGGGGCTGATACTGAAGCTGATACTGTTCACTTGATGTGAAGAGCTGACTCACTGGAAAAGACTCTAATGCTAGGAAAGACTGAAGGCAAAAGGAGAAGGAGGTAGCAGAGGATAAGATGGTTACACAGCATCACCATCTCAATGGACATGAATCTGAGCAAACTCCAGGAGATAGCGAAGGACAGGGAAGCCTGGCATGCTGCAGTTCATGGGGTCACAAGGAGTTGGACACAACTTAGTGACTGAACAACAACAAGTTTTTGATTGATGCATTGCTGGAAATGACCAAGATGGCAGACAAAGAATGAGTGGAAAAAGGAGACTACATTAAATGGAGCGGTCAGCAGGCCCCTCTAGGGAGGTGACATAAAGCAAAGACCTCTGAGACAAGAAGGCATAAAGAAGTGGGGACAGAGCAAGGCAGGCAGACTGTTGGACAGGACAGGCAGGCCGGGAGCCTTCGAGGAACTGGAATGGGGTGGCTAACGTCCAGGAGTGAGGAGAGGGCAGTCCTGTCTGAGATCACCCTGGCAGACATGGGCCAGAGCAGGGAGGGCCTGCTGGACCAAGGCAAGGAGTCTGGATTTTTTTAAACCCTAAAGGAGAAAGCCACTGAAGGGCTTTAAGAAGGGAATGACAAGATTTACATCTTTCCAAAGACAATTCTGGCTGCCACATGAAGATTGGATTAGAGCCCAGCAAGAAAAAAAGCAGGAGACCAGATGGAGGTTGTAGATTTGCAGACAAGGCAGGATGGTAGCTTTGAACGAGGGCAGGGGCAGTCCAGGAGAGGAGACCCAGAGGAGGCTCCTTCCACAGGATGCATTGCTATGCAGCCCTGGTTAAGTACTAAGACATATCTGATAAATCAATGAAAGCTATCACAGGATATGGATAATGTAAAAGGACATCAGACACTCCAAACAGAGGGGGCAGCGCTTTCAGAGCAGCAAGCTGAATGTGGTGGGAGGGCAGCCTGGCTATTGTTGCCACCAGGCCTGGTTTTCTGAAAGTCCTGATTTGAAGTATTCCCTTATATTGTTTCCATAAACCGCCAAAATAGCTGTTTATATTCTGTGTCCAAATACACCCATATGGAGCTGAGTTTGTACGTCTCTTCCCAATTCTGCTGGGTGGCGCCTTACTGAAACGGGCCATAGTGGGAGGATTTACACCATGGAAATTGGCAAATGCTACAAAGCGGGGCTTTCCATCAGAGGGCTGGTTGTGAAGTATTTATCAGCAGGCCACTGCACCCCAGACTCTGGCATCCAGAAGCAACACAAGAGCCCTTTGTTAGAACCATGCTTTCTGCGTTTCTAAGGCAGAAAATCAGAGCAGGGCACGGTAGCCGGGTGAAGGGTCACTGCATTTTGGCTCTGTGACCATGCTCTGGCCACTCACCCTTCCAGGCTGAGGGTACAAAGCAAAATGGCAGGGCCCCAGGGTAACCTTGCTGCACATACCCTGAGTGGAGAAAGCGCGAGAACAGACAAAGAGAGGGGAGAAAAGAGAAGGAAGATGTAGAATGAAAGTTCAGAAGACCGGGAGGGAAGTGGCCCCATGTGAATGCCTACCACAGGCTACACTGTTCATAAACCACCTTGACACAACTGCCCTGGAAGGTGGGTATTACCACTCTCCTTTTATGGACAAGAAAACAGAGCCTCAGCTATCAGGTGACTTGCCTCAGATCCCACAGCTAGCTGGTGACAAGGCCAGATCTGAACCAGGTCCATGTGGTGGCAGCAGGCGAGGAAAGAAAAGATGGGAGGAAGGAAGGGTGTCTGAGGTCTTGCTCTCCTCCCGTGGTCCCCCCGACCACCCCCAGGTCTTATTTCTTTGCAGCTTCAGGGCCGTCCTCACGACTGCCAGCCCTCTTCTCCCCTGTTACCTCTCACCCAGGTCAGTCTGCAGAGCTGACTTCCTCCCAGCCTCAAGCAAGACAGACGGCCCAAACCAGCCCAGTCACTTGAGTGGTGACACCTTTCAGTGGCCCCAGAGCAGGCTAGTGCCTGCGCCCTGCCTGCTGCCCTTCCGGACAGTGACCTCTTGACCGTCTCCTTAACCCCCGGCACTGTGCTCCTAAGAGGTACTTTCCTGTGAATGAGTAAAGCAGACGCTGGCTTGCTAGAGCCTCTTGGCTCAGGTCATTGTGAACAGATAGAAACCAAGGGTCTGCAGTTTTTACCCCAGAATACAGCCTGCCCTAGGGTTTGGAGCCCCAGGAATGCAGCTTCTTCTGTTTTAACCCCTTTGGGGCTGGGTTCATGTAACTACGCTTCCCTGGGTCTCAACTGGAGACAAAGAACTAGAGAGACAGAAGAGAAGTGCCCACATCAGTCAGGCTGCAAGCGGAGACTGCTGCTCGGGTTAGTGCTCAGAGACAGCCCAGGGCTTCTGGGCAGGCCAGAAGGGGCAGGAGGTGTCTGCGCGCATGTGTGTATGTGTGTAGGGGGGTGGTTCTCTGCTGCCCCTGGAGGTGGCCGTCTGGACTCACCCTCCCAGAGCCACAGGCCTGATGGGGGAGGACATTCTTGCTAGCACTCTATCACCTCGCTTCACCCACATCCTCATGAAGCCACATCCTCTGCACCAGGGTCTGAGAACGGCTTCTTGGGGCCAGGGGTGCAGAGGCGGGCACCCTGTGATTGCTCTCCATCTCGCCCCTCCAATGTGTCCCCCACACTGCAGCCAGAGCGCTCACTCAGAACTGCTACTCTGATCACTCCACCCTCTGCCCAGCGCCTGCTGTGGCTCCCTTGTACCTCAGGTTCTCCATGACCTGCACTCTTCTCTTCTCTCTGCTTATACTTTTTGGCCACCCCATTCCTGGCTCACTTGTAAAACTGGAAAGCATGCAGGCGCCTTTGCATAGCTGTTATCTCTGCCTGGGATGTCTCCTCTTCTCCTCTGCATTCAAATAGGAAGCACCTATTCTTAGCCTCCTAACTGGCCTCCTGTTGCCAGCCTTGACCCCTACAGTCTGTTCTGGACACAGCAGCTAAAAGAATCACACTTAAAAAAAAAAAAGTAGATCACAGTTTGAAATTCAAGGCCTGGCAATGGCCTTCACTTCACTCAGGAGAAGTCCCACTGGCCTACAAGCCCTCCCTGGACTGTGCTGAAAGTTACTTCTCCACTCTCTCCAACGGGGCACAGATGGCTACTTCTCCCCCATTCTTTCTTCTGCAGTAAACAGACTTGCCTGAGTTTTAGCTTGGCACAGGGCTACTCGGAATGAGACTCCTTCACGCTGGGAGTGGTCATGTGACTGTTAGCCAGTAGGATATAAGTAGAAGGGTTCTATGTAACTGCTTGGTAAGAATCATTACAGGAGGGGCTTACTCTATTTCACCCTTTACTTGTTACTGCTTGTTAAAATGTGCAAGTGATGGCTGGTGCTGCAGCAGCCACCTTGGGCTGTGAGATGACCCAGAAAATGCTGGCCACGTGTGGCAGGGCAGCAAGACAGGAGTGTGGGTCACTCTTATCGTCAAACACAGTATTACTTCTGGACTATCTATGGAATGTGAACTAAGAAACAAAATTAAAAATGTAAAGGCACATTTATTTTTAGTTACTATGCTCAGGCTTCCTTGCTACTGTTTGATAACACAAAGCAATGTCCACCTCAGGGCACTGTGCATTTGCTGTTCCCTTGCCAGGGATAAGTTTCCTCTAGATATCTGCAGGGCCTCCTCCCTCCCTTCCTTCAGGTTCCTGCTCAAGTGGCATCTTATCAGAGCTGTCCCCTAACCACCCTGCATGACTTTACTCCTTTTTATTTTGTGCCATCATGCTTTTTTAAAACCATCATGAATTCTATATATTTCCTTGTCTCCTTGTCTGTTTTTCTACTCTAGAACATAAGCTCCCATGAGGGCAGGGACTCAGTTTCTTGTTTACTGCTGCACCCACACTCCCTAAAGGCTCACAGGCCCATGGTCCATTTTTGTGCAAGGGGAGCAAAGAATGTACTTTTATGTTTTTAAAACCTTGTCAAGAATAAGAGGGAGAGTAAGTAGAAGAGGAAACAAAAAAATTACTATTAGTGACAGAGTCTGTATGCAGCTTGCAATGCCTAAACTATTTACTATCTGGCCATTTAGAGAAAAAACGTTTGCCAGCCCTTGACCCCAGAACATGAATGGCATCTGCAAAGGCTTAATAAATATCTGAACAAAAGAATGAGTATTTTAAAACAGCTTTAAATGACTTCTGACCTCAGGGAGACACTCAAATGCCTTCTCACACAGCATTCACACTGTTTTATTTTGTTTACACATCTGTCTTTTCTACCAAACTGTGAGGTTATTTCCCACATGATGCTGGCCTTTGCATTCCCTGGGGACCTAGAACACTGTCAGGCACACAGTAGGTGCTTAACAGACAATGAACGGATAACCATGTTGGTCTTCTTCATTCAGCACAGAGGCTCAATGAACATCTGTGCTGTGACTGAACAAAGGAGACATCTAGAAACCCTTCCTGCTCTACACAGCACGGGCCTCTTCCTGGGAACACACTGTGCTGAGTCATCGGCAGGCGCTTGTCCACCTTACACGCGCCAAAGACTACTCCTTGTCTGTAAGTAGGGACAGAGGCTCTGGTTAAGTCAGGGTCCGGGTAAGTCAGGTTATGTGTCCAGAAAGTTGAGCAGCTGCCACCTGGTTTTAACAACTGATGGTGGTCCAGTGGCACCACATACAATTGTCACGACTCTGCTCAATGGACTGGTCTACTCATTTCTGCGCCAACTCTCCTCACCAAGCTGCCAACCAATCTAGGATAACCATGAGCAGTGACAGGACCGGGGAGTGATGGGACTCCCGGTGAACAAGACATGAAGTCAGGAAATGAGGAGGGCAGGGGGCAGGGTGGGGGGACTCTGAGCTGGCATGTGCAGGCCAGGTGCTGGCTCAGGGCTCAGGGACGGCACTCCTTCCAAGACTTGCTCAGGGGCCAGGTCTGAGCCTCACTTACATCTCCTTCCTATTCTTCTCTAACAGCCGCTTTAGTCTGCAGTTTCCTGCCACTAAGTGGCTCAGAATTGGAGCTGCTTTTTCAGCGGCAGATCTTCCAGGGCAGGTTAACTTCCTTTTACCCAGAGGGCTCAACTTATCAAAACCATCATGCGTTTGATCCACCAGGAGTCTCAGACGAGGCCACAGGCCACTAAAGGTCAGGTGGAGACACCCACTACAGGACTGTGATACTGCAACCAGGCTTTATAATGCACAGTAATCACAGTGCTTAGAAGCTGATGCAGGTAGAACTAAGTTCTAGGAGTTGCAAGCGTGAAACCTAATATCTCTAGAAATGTCGCGATTGTGGTCCAGCAGGGAACAAGAGAGAAGGGAGAGGTCAGGAGAAAGGAGGAGCTTTGACAGTGGAAGGGCAATTTTATCATTGAGGAAGTATTATGCTATAAACTGCCTTCAAAAGGCAAAAGCTTTCACCTACCACAAAAGCTTTCTGTTTGGCTATTTCTTTTTTCTTCATGACGGTAGCTTTAGAATTTTTTAACTGATGAGTAACGGTAAAGAAAGACTTTATTTCTAGAAATTCACTATACTGTCTGTCTTGCTGAAAGAGCCCCCAGACAAGAGACTACTTTGATAAGTAAAGGGTAGAAAAATCAGCAAGAGACGGTCCTTAAATAATGACATGCTCTGTTAAATTTTGGTAGGAGGATTTTTTTTTTTTTCCTGCAGGATGAGCAGAATTTGAGACCACATTAGCCAAAGCCTGCAGGAACCAGCCAGCCAGCCACAACAGGCACACTCTGGAGAGATAAGCCTTCTTCAACTCACAATTCTGGCATAGAAACTGCAGGGCTTGGGCTGTCAACATTAAATCCTTTCTGAATTTAATCAGGGAGGCTTGTTCTAACTTAAAGAAAGTGTTCAAAGGTCAGATAAAAAAAAAATAAGGCTAATCCCAGCAAGGGTTCTTAGTCTGAATGAAGAAAGATGCTATCTTCCACCCAGTTGAACTATAAATAAATCTGTCCCCCATCATTGCAGGTGAATGATGTAACAGTGGTCACCACAAATTATAGAGCTCCTTCTTTCTTTTCCAGACCAGTCCCCTCATTAAGCCTGTTCTGACTGAATACCTTTGTTTTCACCAACCAGAGCTGTCTGTTTCCTGCCTCCCTCCCACTCTTCCCCTCCCAGAAAGTCTCCGCACACTCAAAGCCAGAAACTCTACAACCAGCCTAAGACTGTGTGCTTCTCTTCTCCTCTCTGCTCTTTTCTAAGAAGCCTATCATTATCCTCAGGGCTCAAGGGCTATCTGTAGCTTTAGCAGGATGTCACGGCTCCGGCCAGTACCTATTAAGCTAGAAAGCAGAGCTATAAACAGACTGGGAAAAGGCTGGACTTCATGCATGACCTCATACCTTGAGGCAAAGAGATGCAGTTCTTTTCTACTCTTCCCTGCAAGAATAGCCTTGGGGCCTGTGAAGCTGACCGCAGGCCTGGTACCCAGGGGGAAGTAAAGGGATAAAAGATGTTGAACTTGACATTATTAGAGATGCTGGATGAGAACACCCTTGTGCTCTGAATGAATAATAGTAGCATAAAAAGAGCACATATATCCTTAGAGCATGGCACACACCGTTCTAAGCGCTTTACATATTATTATGTTAATAAATCCTGTAATAATCCTACAAGGTAGAATACTATCCTTATCCTCATTTTACAGATGAGGAAACAGGCCCATGATAAAGAAGGCATCCTTTTTCACTTCGGGGATCTCTGCTTGGCCTCCTTTCCCCTCTTCCTTATCAACCCCCTCAAACTTCCTGGAGTTCAGGATAAATAAAAGAATTTAGAACTCTGGAAAGCTCTGAAGGCCATGTTGGCTCCAGACGTGGCACGGGCTTGGCCCTTTGCAGACATGCAGGATGTTCTTGGGCTGCAGGAGGACAAAGTTGGGTGATTGTAAATCTAAGCTTATCAACCCCAGGTCTGTGAGAACTCAATCTTTCCTCTGCACACACTCAAAATCTCACCTTCTCTTTTCCCACAATTGCTCTTGATGAAAGAGTCATGCTGTCCAGGGAATGAAAGTGCATTAGGAAGGCAGAGAACTGACTATGTGGAAGTGAGTATGGGAGCTGCCTGCAAGAGCGGTCACCACTGCCCAGATCAGTGGCTGATGGAAGGAAGCCCACAGACAGGCCTGGCACTGAGGCTGGTGAATGGATCAGGCCAAAATCTACTGCATACTTGCATTTCTGAGCTTGCGCGTTGTCTCCTCAGCCCCAACTGCTCCTCAGCATCCATCCATCCATCCATCCATCCATCCATCCATCCATCCATCCATCCACCCATCCACCCATCCATCCCATCGCTGTATACCCCATGTAGTGTCCAGGGCCTGGGACATCGCTCAGTAGGGGTATACTAAACATCTAATCAATAGGAGAAACGGAAAATATTCTTACCAGATTTCTTTTTCCCAACATGTTCCCTGTATAGGAGAGAATAGGGGTGGGGAAGAGTAATGAGTTAGTATCTCTTGCGTATTGCTACGAGTTATTCCATTAGGAAAAGGAGATTTTTCCCTCCCACAACATCTCCAGAGAATGAACCTAATTCCAAGTCAGCCCCAGGGACCCAGACCTCCTTAGAAGAAGGAATTCCTTTTGATTTTCTACCTTTGCTCTGGTGCCCTGGGGACAGCATGTCCACTCTGTTTGTGGCGGAGGGGGCTCCAGGGAGTTGATGGGCAGGGGTGGGTATGCAATCTGAAAACAGGAGGTAGGCCCCCACGCTGCATGGGGCCTGAGGCCACCTCATCAGGCACGGGAGGCCTCACCTGCCCTGGGCAGTGCCCTGAGCTGAACAGTCGGAGCGGGAAACTCTCGGTGGTGAGTGGGACGCACTGCACATCTCCCTCACGGTGTCACACAGGACACTATTACGGGCGGGAATCCATACAGAACGAGTAATCACTTCTTACACTTGTTAACCACGTCAGTTTATCCACACAACTGCATTACGAACATAATGTTACAAATGAGGGTTTACAACATACTTTTAAGTAAAGTATCCCAATAGTAAAGAGCTTTCCAGTGTTACAGAAAGATGAGATGGTTGGGTTGAGACAGATATGGTGGCAACAGGAATATTAGCAAATACCTACTACTAAATTCCTGATAAATGCTGTTACCTTGTGCCAGGATCCTGCTAGGTATTTTGAGTTCACTCACTTAATACTCATAATAACCTTCAGAAATAAGTACTCTCTAAATGCCCATTTTACGGATAAGGAAAATGAGACACAGAGAGGCTAAGTAACTTGCACAAGGTCACACAGCTTTTAAGTAGCACAGCCAGGATCTGAATCCAAGTCTATCTAAATTTTTAAGGACTGAGATACAATTCACTTGTCATAAATTTCATTCTTTTAAGGTATAGAATTCACTGTTTTTTTAAGTATATTCACAAAGTTGTGCAACCACTGCCAACATCAAATCCAGGAAATTTTCATCCGAAAAGAAACCCCTTAGCAGTTCCTCTCCATTTCCAGTCCTTCCAGCCCTTTCACAACTATTAACATGCTTGCTGTTTCTAAGGATTTGTCTATTCTGGACTTTCACTATGAATGGAATCATACAATAGGTAGCCTGTGACTGGTTTCTTTCATATAACATAATGTTTTCAAGGGTCATTGATGCTGAAGCTCACACCAGCGTTTCACTCCATTCTATGGCTGAATAATATCCCATTGTGCGGATAAATCACACTCTCTCTGTTCCCGGACATTTGCATGGTTTCCACTTTTTGGCTATTATGAACAATGCTTTATGAACTTTGCACACAAATCTTCACGTACATATTTTTATTTCTCTTGGTTATATACATAGGGATGGAATCACTGATGAAACAGTAACTCTAGGTTTAATTTTTGAGGAACTGTCAGGCTGTCTCCCTCAGCGGCTATACCATTTACATTCTCACCAGCAACGTAAGGAGGTTTCAATTCCTCCATGTGCTCAACACCACTTGTTACTGTCTTGTCTTTCTGAGTCCAGCCACACTAGTGGGTATGAAGTGGTATCTCCCTGTGGTCGGGACTTGCATTTTCTGATGGCTAAGGACGCTGATGCTTTTGAACTGTGGTGCTGGAGAAGACTCTTGAGAGTCCCTTGGACTGCAAGGAGATCCAACCAGTCCATCCTAAAGGAGATCAGTCCTGGGTGTTCATTGGAAGGACTGATCCAGTGAGGCCCAGCGTCACACCCCATGTGGGGGAAGGTGAGGGTGACAGGGAATCTCCCTGCTCCCGGTCCCAGCCGTTCACTGTGGACAGGGTCAGAATGCTGTCCCTGGACTGACCCCCAGGACCCTCCCATCACTGCGCTCCCCAGGTATGGAGACACGGAGGCCCGCAGAGGCGTGCTTCTCCCAGGACTGGAACGCGGCGGGCCTGGCTGGGGCTCACTGTCTGACCAAACCCCGACCGTCCTGCGGGCGGAGCTGTCCTTAAACGGCCGGGTTCAGGACGCACCAGCAGAGGCCTCTAAGTCCGCTTCTAAGCAGAGTGCCCTCGGCCCGCATGGCCCTCCAGGCTGTGACCTGGGCCGCGGTCCAGGACACCGGAAACGCCGGCTCCCACCCTGCCGTGTTCCCATCGCTCCCGCCGCACTGGCCCGGCTGGAGCGGGCGGCGAGGGGCAGCAGGGGGCTCCTGGGGGCAAGCAGCAGTTTGTGTGGGCTCAAACCAGTGCACTGTTCCTTCTGTGAGACCTGCTTACGGTGCTCCCAAGTTTTCCCAGGTATGGCAGCAAAAAACCTCCCTCTAAAAGCACCACTTGGAACCCATGATGTCTTTGCTTAGAAACTGTTGGGCAAATCTCCCAATCTCCACTGCAAGCCTCACTCAGGGCTGAGCGTCAGAGACTTGATCAGGGACTAAGGCCACTGAACGGCTGCCCTCACAGTTCATTCCTCCCTAAACAGCAGCAGCTAGGTGACGCTATCTGCTGGGGCCCCAGAGACACCCCGTGGGCTCTCAGCAACTAACTTCCTTCCTTCCGTCTTTCCTCCCTTCCTTCCTCGTCAAAGCCTGCCTCAAGGACAGGAAGGCATCACTAGGTAAGTATCTGTCATGTGCCTGACACCATCATCACCCTTTATGAGCAGGATACTGCTTAACCAAGATGTGAGCAAGGTTAGCTATGCCCACTTTACTGATGAGGAAAGAGAAACTCATAGAAGTCAAGTCACCTGTCCAAGGTCACACAGCAGGGAATGGACAGAGAGATAGGAAACTTCCCTTTCCTTCCAGGAAACCTCTTGGAACCAGGTAGATACACTCTGGAGGATGCTGGTTAGCTTATCTTAGCTGTCACTTTGTGCTTTTGGGGGGTACAGTCTAGGCTGCATTTTGTATTTTTAGTCTATGTTCTTATTTGTGTGTGTGTTTGTGTGTGTACATGCACACATGTATTCACATGCTCACATAGCCTTTCCCACCAGTATAGAAATCTCCTGAGGGCAGGTGCTATTTTTCTCTTGTATTATTCCTGAGGGAAGAAAGGGAAATGATCATTAAATTCTACAGGTTGTGGTCTTTTTTATTTTCTGTTTTTAAATAACTGGAGCAGTAAGATTTCTTCTAGCAGTCAAAAAAGGTTATAACTGTAGAAAAATTTAGATTCTCAGCACATACCGTAAATTGGAATGAATTCTAATCGATTTAACGAGTAAATGTTAACAGAAACCCCAAACCATAAATCAACTAGAAAAAAATTAAGGCAACTATCTTGTGTCTGAATGGTAAGTGCCCTTCTTAGACTGAAAGCAAGTGAAAGAAGTCACAACTGAAAAATCTGGGCACCAGATTTGACTTCACAAAAATATAAAACTTACGCACATCATAAAATCCAGAAACAAAATATAAATGCATGATAAAAGGGAAAAATATTTACAACAAATACAGCAAAGCTAATTCCTTACTATATAAACAATAACAAAATATTCCTTACTATATACAATAGTAAAACCAACAGAAAAACCGAGCAAAGAGATTTTCCCCTTCCAACCACGAGTCAAGAGCTTCTTACTCTTGAACTTTAATGCCAACCAGCTTCCCTCTTTCCTAGCTCAAAAAATGCCCACCAGCCCGTAAAGCTCCCAAAGGCAAGAACTGGGATTGTTTTCCGGGCTTTCAGTGTGGGTGGCACTTGTGGGAAACATTTAGGAAATTAACACACTTGAATGGGTTGACCCTGTCTCTGCTGGGTTTTACCCAGAGATGTGGGGGATGGGAGAGCCATTTGGAAGGCCTGCGAGGAAAGACTCTGGTCCTCCCATAGGAGAACAAGCATCTTCACACGGTACCCACTCCTCCCAGGGACGTACAACAACCAAACAGACCAGCTAGCTTCTTTCTTAGCATCTCATAAAAGATTGCAGAACCCAAGCATCTTGGCCCTGGCAGCCAAGGAGATGTGAAAACTGTGTACCTACTATGTGCCAGGCACTGTCCTAAGCCCTTCACACATACAGCCAAACCTCACAATGACCATGGGTCCCACATCCATGGATTCAACCAACCTTGGATTGAAAATGTTTGGAAAAAAATTCCAGAAAGTTCCAAAAAGCAAAACATAATTTGCTGTGTGCCTGGCAACTATTTACAGAGCATTATATTGCATCAGGTATTATAAGTAACCTGGAGATGATTTAATGTATATGAGAGGATGTGCATAGGTTATATGCAAACACTGCACCATCTTATATAAGGGACTTGAGCATCCATGGATTTTGCTATCTGTGGGGGGCCCTGGAACCAATTCCTTTGTCAATAATGACAGTACTATTATTCCCACCTAAGAAGTGAGGAAATGGATTAACCTGAAATGTATAAGAACAAAACTCTAACTCCAGGAAACTGGAGAAAATCTATCTTTGGAATTTTCTAACATAATATCCAGGGGGCACCATCATGATTTCAGCCCCCAAACTCCAGAAAACCAGCTGCTGATCATGTCCTAATCTTCCCATTGGTATTTCTGTTCAGTCTCCCAGTAACCCCATAATGCAGGTGGGGCAGGTGATGCAGTCTCGTTTCACAGATGAAGTAAGTGAGGCGGGAGGGGAGGGGATTGCTCTGCCCAGGGGGAACAGCTGGCTGCCTGGCCAGCAGACTGGAAGCTCCCTGTGGGCACAGACTGCATCTGCCACATCCTGTGTCCCCCGTGTCCAGCCCTTGGGCCTGGCCGTGGGCAGGCCCTCGATACCTACTTCCTGAACGGATGAACAATGCTGGCACTCCTAATTGGGACCAGCACTGGGCTCAGACCTCCCAGCCCTGTGTCCCTTCTGCCAGCCCAAGCCAGCCAGTAAGTGGGGAAGGCCATGCCGTGGCACCAGCGAGCGTGACCAAGCCCCCGCCCAGCCTCCCCGACACCCCGGACCCTCGAGAGGGCTGGCTCCCACCCACGGGCCCCAGCGTCCTTCCTTCCTGCACACAAGTGGCCGGACCCTTCTCCAGCACAGCAGGTTGCCCTGGGCAGGCCTGGCCCTCTCCCATGTCTGCAGATGAGCTGGGGTGAGGCCTGCTCGGAGGCTGGGGACGCACGTACCACCCTCGCCAGGCAGGAGGCCGAGGGCATATGAGCATTAACACTCACAAGGGGCGCCTGGGTGTCTGTTCTTAATTTCAGGTCCCTGAATGGGACCCGACAGAACTGAGGACCTCCAGAAACTGGGGCGTTTTTTTTTTCTTTTGAGAGAAGGAAGAAAGCTTTTATTGGGTTCTCTAAATGCTCTGTGATCCTCCTCAAAGTTAAGATCTCTGGGATGCTGAGATGAGGTAGAAGAAAATCTGGAAGTCACCGAATCCAGTGGACCAGGGAAGCCAAACCCAGGTCAGCTCTGCCCCTCAGAGGCTGGCATTTTACCTTTTCTCCCGTGGGTACTGAGTCAGGTTTGTGGAGTGCTGGCCAAGAGCTTCTCTCTGCATCTTGTCATTGGATTCTTGAGCCAAGCTGCAAGGGAGGTGCTATCAGATCCACCCCATGAGACAGGAGATGGGCGCAGGCCTGAGGAGCAGCCTGCCCAGAGCCACTCGGCTTAACAGTGGCCTAGCAATCCTCCTGGTGGGGGCCTATTGAGGGACATCCTGAACAACTCTGGGATATAACCAGCTATGGCTGGGTACCCAGAGAGGAGAAAAGACCACGGGCCACCACTTTTTGAGCTCTTGGCAGGTTCTGGGAATTCCTACTTGTGGTAGCCACTCCATCATCACTGTAACCATAAGCTGTGTTGCTATTCCCATTTCACAGGGACGGAAATCAAGGCCCAGGCTACACAGCCCATGTGTGGTAGAGGCGAGATTTGAACCTGGACATACCTGACTGCAAACCCAGACTCTTCTCTTAAGTCTGGTTGTCCCTTTTGTGGAAGGTATACACAGAGCTTACGTTCAGACTCAAGTAGACCTGAGGAAGAGTCACCTCACCTCTCCCAAACTGTGTGTCCTTGGGCAAGTCTCTTTCATTACTGTGAACCTCCACTTCCTCACCTGTAAAATGGAATGACAACTCCTACCTGGCAGTTCTGTGAGACAATGAAGTAGGAACCGCACATGCTACGCTCCATATCCTTTGATTCACCTCCCCTAGAGATGAGACTGGAAGCCAGGGTCTACAAGCCTGAACTGACAGTTTAACTCTGACTGCCTGGGAGCACTGCAGACAAAGATCCCTTGGGAATATTTCACCATGTCTTGTTTTGTCCATAAAAGCTGGGGAATGTTGACCAGGCACAAATGCTGAAGGCACCAGGAATGGAAATAGCAGCCAGGATGGGCTGCAGGCCCAGAGCAGATTTATACTTATCCTGCACCTTTCCAAAAAATCCATGGGTTGGCAAGGCATTCCCTTGTGATGTTCTGATTCAAAAGACTTACTGGGGTCCCTGATGAAATGTCACCCCCCACACTTCTGTAGGCTGTCTCTGAGAAGCTATCTTCACTTATGCTGTGCTTTTCACAGGAAATGATATTTATTACAGAAAGTTAAGTTTATCACCTTTGGATAGTTAAGCCATTAGTCCTGAGTGAGCAGCTCACTTTGGGTGACCTCCAAACTTGATTCTGCATGTCGCTCTGTGAGTGTGTATAAATGGCTTGATTCTGCTTGTTAGAACTCTGCTGCTTTCACCTTACAGGACTATTGAAAAACTAAGCTTTGTGTCTTCACCAGACTCACTTCCAGAAGGCAATGTGAGTCTCACAAGCCCCACCTAATATTGAACCCATGAAAGCCTGGGTCACCACTGCTGCTCTGGGCAGTGAGTTATGCTCAGAGCTAAGAGGAACATTCGCACTCCTCCCAGAACTGTGCCTGGCTGGCACTTCTCAGCTCTTCCTGCCAGGGTGGCAGTGGACCCCCAAGCCTGCCAGCTCTTGCTCCTATGACCCAGGACAGCCCAGCACCTGTGGTCTGTGTCCTCCACTCCCTCTACTGTGACTTCTCCATTAGACAGATCCCCTCTTTCTGCAAACATACAGGCATTTCCCCCCAAAAGGGCTTTTTGAAAAAAGCACCATGCGTAAGTCAGCGTTTCCTGCGGGTGCCATCCACTCCTGGTGTGATGGCTGGCGGGCAGGTGGTGTTGGATTCCATGCGATGTGCGCTGGACGGTGGGGGAGGCGCCGCCCGGCCCCTGGGAGCGCAGGCCGTCTGCTGCAGGAGAACGCGATCAGACCCTGGTCCCAACACTCACGAGCGACAGGGCCTCCAAGGGGCCCGCCTCACTCACGTCCCCGATGGTCGAGAGCACACCCGCCTTCGAGGACAGGGCACACAGTCCCCACCTCGGGGGCTCACCGTCTCCCGTTCACGCGCCATGGGGAGCGCAGGGCGTTAGGGAATTCAGAGGTGCACGCGGCCGGCTTCCTTCACCTGTAAAACTCACCTGCACCGCCTGTGGTCACTGAGGAGGCCATAAGAGGTAAGGCCTGGCAGGGGCTCCACTGAGAGAATCTAGTTTCATTTCTACTTAGCTTTCCTGTACTTGCTCCTGGGGCTGGCTGGCCCAGCAGGAAGGAGGGCTGTAAGAACACGCTCGAGGGAGATCCACAAACCAACTTACTCTCTGGGGGGGTTCAGGTCCTCCGGTCTTGTTTCAAAGAACTGCAGCACCTCATCACACTGGGAGATATATGGGGGCAGCTGGATCAGGGCCTGGGGGAGAGACACGCAGGCAAGCTCAGCGGAAGGGAAAAGCGGTCAGGATGCAGAAAGTCAAGACTCCATCACGATCACCCACCCCCCAGACTTTCAGACTCAGTAGGTCTGGAGTGGGGCCTGAGAACGTGCAATTCTAGCAAGTTTCCTGGTGATGCTCCACTGGCTGGCTTAGGGAACACACACACACAGAATACACACACACACATATATTACAGGCATACTTCGACAAATAATATGTACATATTTAGACAAAACCATGAATTATGAACAAGGTCCTACTATATAGCACAGGGAACTATATTCAATATCTTGCAATAAACCATAATGGAACAGGATATGGAAAAGAATACATATCTATCTGCATATAGCTAAACCACTTCGCTGTAACCAGAAGCTAACACAACATTGTAAATCAACTACACTTCAATAAAAATGCCTTTAAAAATTGTGAACTTCGTGCCCTGTTCTCTACATCACCATCTCTACGGGATACTCAGTGTCTGCTGGATAGAAATCTCATGCTGGATAGACTCAACCAGCTGCCTACTGACTGGTGATGTTTACATTGCCTCCAACATGACATACCCGCATGTCCTAACTCGTGGATCTGAAGGGCTCAAGTGAAGTGACTATTTCATGATTGAGGCAGAGGTCAGAGAGGTTGAAATACCCAGGACGTCCCAGTGCTCATGTCCATGTTCATCTGCCCCCTTGGCTCATCATTTTAAAAAGGAGCCTCAACTCTCCCAACCAGCTAGATAAGGAGGTGGTGGTGGGGGGGTGGGGGGAGACACAAAGTGGACCCAGGCATTTCTTATGCAATTTATCTACCAATAGCTATTCAATGATTCAACAGACATTTACTTCATGCCCAGCACTGACTGATTTCTGGGTCAAACAGGACAGAATTACAGGGTACGTCCCATCAGGAAAGGATGTGAAACAAAGACCATGGCTCCAAAATGAATAAACAACCTAATTTAGCAAATATTCACTTAAGCACCCTCTGGCACAGGTTCTGAGGATGCAAATCTGAGTGCAGTAGAGCTGTTTCATGTACATACTTTATTATAAACTCCTGAGCAGGGAGGGCCAGTGCAGACACGGGAATTTAAGCAGCATGGGTGTGCTATGGGGTGAGGTGGGACCCTGCTCTCGCTGCAGAAGGCCTCATTCCCTGGGGTTTCTATGCCTTCTTACCATGCTGAGTGTGGAGTCTGGAGTGGAAAAGGTTTGTCTTGTATTTTCTGTGAAACAAGGGCTCTAAAAGCCATCCCCACCCAAAGTGACTTTCTAACCCTACCACTGGACGATGATGGACTATGGAGAGATGGCTGCGGGGGGTCTCCAGTGTGGAACCTTCTACAGCATTTTCAGGGGGTATTTTGCCCCTACATGATTTATCTTCCTGGTTTTAAAGAACTTTCAGTTGTGGTAAAATGTACATGATATCATTACCACCTTCATCATTTTTACGCACCATTCAGGGACATTGAGTACAGTCACGCATCACCACCACCAATCCCCAGACCTCTTCTCATCCTGGGAGACTGCAACCCTGCTCCCATCAAATGACAGCTCTGCACTCTCCTCCGGACCTGGCAACCGCCACTCACTCTCTGTGTGTGTGAAGTTGACTGCTGCAGGTACCTCACTCATATAAGGGCAATTATGCAGTACTTGTCTCCTTAGGACTGGCTGGTTCACTTAGCATCATGACCTCAAGGTTCATCCACATAGTAGTATGCAGTGTGTGTCAGAATGTCCTTCCTTTTCAAGGCTAAATTGTATTCCATTTATGTATAGGACACATTTTGTTAATTCACCCCTTGAGATTCCAGTGTATGGCTGATCCAAAGGACCTTTGAATCAGGCTCTGACTTTAAGTCACCTCCCTTCTCCTGATGTATGACCTGGGCCAAACCTAAAGTGGAGCAGTGGGTGCACATGTTTTAGTAGTGTGCCTTCCCTGGCCACTGTCAACTTTCTACAATGGATAAGGAGAGAAGGATAAAGGATGCTGACTTGAAGGGCCTGGTATCTGTGACTCACTGATATTTTTTATTAGCCTTGCAGGATCTTCTGCCCTGCAGCAACTTTCCAGGACCAGTCTTACCCAGGCCAGAGGTAGAGAGCTCAAGAGGGAGAAAATGGATATCACCCCCCCGCCATTTCTGACCCCCTTCTCTTTCTGGTTTGGAACAGTATTTATTCTTCTGCTATCCTGGGGCTCCCTGTGGGTCTTTCTTTCCTCTGAAATCCTGCAGTTCTTGCAGTTGGAACCACATAATGAAGGAGCTGATCATATGCTGGACTGTGGTGTGTCCTGGCTGCCTCGTGGGCAGAAATCTTGTGGCTCCCCCCAGACTGCAAACACAACATTCCCTTTCTGTGGGCTCAGCACTTGATGGCTCCTAAAATACATCTGTCTGCATCATGTCATATCATCCTGCGAGGGCTGGCCCACTCTAGAGACGGGGAAGTGGAGGTTTTGGGGAGGTGAACTAGGACGTGGGGGCCAAAGGAGCCGACTACAGCTGCTCCACCTCAAATCTACGGAGGGCTTCCTCCTGCACCTTCCCCAGGGGCCTCGACAGTGCTGAGAGGGCCCTGGCACCTGGTCCAAAGTGTCTGCTGGATGAATGAGGATGAGGCCTGGAGGTGGCCACGTGGCCCTGGGCGAGCCCTGAGGTGGCCAGAGTCTCTGCCTAGAGGGGGCCTGTCTGCCAAAATGGGCAGAGATGCCAAAGGGCCAGTGAAGAAGGGACAACGAGGCCGACAGAAAACAAGACCAGGTTCTTGTCTGTTCCCAAGCAATTCCTAAGGAGGTAAAAGTCCAGCCAAACCCCCGAGGCATAAAATAAAGCCAAGTTACTCATAAAGGGCGGCTCTGAATGCTTTGATACTTCCAAACACACACGACCCAGGGCACAGCAATAGTTCTGCTTCTGAAATACCCCAGAATCATCTCATGTTTGGTCAGTAATGACAGAGAACCACAGTCCCAGGAAAACTCTGGTTCTGTTCCCCGTGGAAGGGACAGATGTGGCTACTTGTCATAGGGGCACAAGGAGAGGTGAGGAGAGCAAGTCCTGCTTGTCTGTGTAATGTCAGACAGGTCCTGGGTCTGCCCTGGCCACATTCTAGCACCTCCGAGCTTCAGTCTGCAGTCTGTAAAAGAGAAATAAGTAACACCCTACCTGGAGGGTTGTGTGACAGAACAAGTGAGCAAGTATTTATCATGTATTAGCCGCTTGATAAACATGTGGTTAACTCTTGGGCCCTCTGGACTGTACCAAGAGCAACAGTGTGCTGCTTCCAGGGGTGACTTTGGAGTCAGCAAGGTGATTCAGTTCAGGAATAGTGCCTCAGCTACAGAGAGAGAGTGTGTGTCTTCAACAAAGTTCTAAGCACACAGCACAGCGCTGTTGGCTGCGGTACGGCAGATTTCTAGAGTTGATTCACCTTGCTTGACTGAAACCTTACGCCCATTGATTACTAACTCCTCATTTTCCCCTCACCACCAGCCCCTGGAAACCACTGTTTCACCTCTTCCCTTTTTAGGTCACGCCCTGCAGCATTCAGGATCTTAGCTCCCCAATCAGGGGTGGAAACTGTGCTCCCTGCACCGGGAGCATTGGAGTCTTAGCCACTGGACGGCCAGGGAAGTCCCAACCATTTCACTCTTTGACTCTACAAGTCGGACTATTTTAGATGTCTCAAGTAAGTGGAACCATACAGTATTTGATCTTTCTGTGACTGGCTTATTTCACTTAGGACAACGTCTTTAACTCAAGGTTTATCCCTGTTGCTGTGTATTGCTGAATTTCTTTGTATAGGCTGAATAGCATTCCATCGTATGCACAGGCCACATGGAGGTTGTTTCTACATCTTGGCTGTTGTCAACAGTGCTGCAATGAACATGGGTGTGTTAATACTGCTTTCATATCCCGATTTCAATTCCTTTGACAAATACCCAGAAACAGGATTGCTTGACTACACGATAGCTCTATTTTTAATTTTCTGAGGAGCCTCTATACTGTTTTCCATGCGGCTGCACTTTGCATTTCAGCACGGAGTGCGAGGGTGCCGATTTCCCTGTATCCTCACCAGCATGTTGTCTGCTGCCGTTGCTGTTTTTGATACCAGCCATCCTGACAGATGTGAGGTGATATTATGTTGTGGTCTTGATTTGCATTTCCCTGATGATTAGTGACACTGAGCAACTTTTCATATACCCATCGGTCACTTGCGTATCTTCTCTGGAGAAATTCAAGCCGTTAGCCTATTTAAATGTTGGACTATTAGCTCTTTTTGTTTAATGAGATGTATGAGTTCTTTACATATTTGGGGGATTAACTTCTTATCAGGTATGTAATTTGCAAATATTTGCTCCCATCTGGTAGCCTGCCTTTTTATTCTATAGATAGTATACTTTGTTGTGCAGAAGTTTTTTAGTTCAATGCATTCCCACTTCTTTATTTTTGTTTTTGTTGCCTGCACTTTTGGTGTCATATCCATGAGATCATTGCCAAGGGTGCTGAAATAAAGCCACGCATGTGGTTAACTGATCCTCAGCAAAGGCGCCAAGAATACATACAGGGACAGGACAGTCTCTTAAACAAATGGTACTGGGAAAACTGATACCCATATGCAAAAAAAATGAAATCGTGTCCTTATCTTATACCATGCACAAAAAGCAACTCAAAAATGGACTAAAGACTTAAACATAAGACTGAAACTATACAATTGCTAGAAGAAAGTGCTTCCCCAGCTTGCTTCCCACGAGCATGGCCAGGCTTTACAGACTTTCCTCCGGTAGTAGGTAACAGCAGCTGACTAGATTTAAAAATATTTCTTGTTGCTGTTGCATCGCTGATTTAATTTTTACTTTTGGGGTAAGTGAAATCAGTTTTATATTATGATTGTGATATAAAATTTCCTCTAAAATATATATTCTTTAAAAAGTTTAAAAAGTGAATTAATTAAAGAAA